CATTTTAGACCTGAATACCAAGTGTCTCTAGAAATCTAGACAGGCTTTTATCATTCTTCTCTTCTTAATGGCAATATCCCAGGACTTTGTCTATACAAGCAACTATCCCTTTCCAGGTGCTGCAGTAGCCTTGTCATTTCCTTTGGAATATATTGGGTGCAGTAGTGATGCCAAAAGGAAGTCTGCGGAAAGATCACCATCCAAAAGGCATAATAAAAGTAGTTAACTTGGCGCCATCTGGGTGTAGAAGAATATGCCAGAAACCATTTGCGGCATCTAAAAGGGGAAAAAAAACTCGGGCATTCATCTTGGAAAGATGTCGTCCACTGTGGATAGGACGGTGCTTCTCTCAAGCACTTTGTTTAGTTGATTTAGGTCAAAATATATGCTGACTCTTCCATTTTCACTAAGGCCTTATAACCACTGGTAAACACCATTCAGCAGGTTTGGCTATTTCTTCTGTAACACTGACAGCCTTGGACTGCCTGCTCCTGCTCTTTGCCTAGGAAGCGCTGAACTGAACTCATTGTGACTCTCTAGGCACTGTCAATAACTGCATAGCATTGTGTCTTTGGGAGATGAGCTTAATGGTCCTGTTTCCTCCAGCGCTTTTGTATTGTTTTCTTTTGGCTGATACAGAAATGCCATTGCTGTGTCTTATTGAACAATTAGTTTTTGAGCCCCTGGAAAGAAACACAGTGCTCTGAATGTCCTGTAACATTGGAAATTACTACAGCTCTTACTGGCACTTATATTCACCCATGAGTTCAAGTGACCCAGTCCCTCATTATTTGATTTTAACCAGTTCTTTCCCATGTTTCATTTCTAAATGCTATCACTGTGCTTTCCCTCAGGGACTTTCTTCTTGTTTCTCCATTGCCGTCAGACACTGAAGACTGCTTTCTACCTATTTATTGTCCTATTCCAATCTCTAAAAGTCTGAGAGGACATTAATCAGCTTTTACTGCCCTATCTACTTCCCTTCATTCCTGCTTTAGCAGGCACCACTGGTGCTGGTCTCAAGGTCTCTGTTGACCGAAGCTCTCCTGTATCCCCCTAGGATGTCCTTCTTCTAGAAGTCTGTCCCACCATAGCAGAAAATGGAGGCTCATGGGCCTTTCAGACAGAGGGACACAGTAGGTGTGATGTTGATTGTGTATTTTCAGCTCTGTCAGATGATAGCTAACCAGGGCACAAGGTCCTCAAATATGTGTACATTTTGTCATCATTTTCCCTGGTAAAGAATTAATTCATGTTGCAAAGAATTACTCTAAAATACCTCCCTTTCCCTCCTGTATTGCTGCTCCATCAACTCATCTGCAGTCTTTTTGAGGAGGGTACAGAGCAACCTCTGTAGCCAGGTGACTGTGCATGCACAAGCTCTTCATTCTTTGTCTCAGCTGAGCAGGTGAAAACATTTAAACAACTGCAACAAGAGAATGGCCATGACTGGGAAATTTACCCTGCACAGGAAGGTGAGCAAATTGTCAGTGTGAATGTTTTTGGCTGAAACTTCACAGCCAGTAGGACAGCCAAAAGCCAAGAGCTTTCACAGCCAAAATGTGGCGTTTTTCAAAAGTGAGAGTTGATACTGCTTGCCCAGAGCAAGGGGTTTGGTTTTAAGAAATCATCACGCTCCTTTAAAAACATCAGGCCTCACTCTCATTTACAGACATTTAGAATTGAAAATCATTCTTAAAAATGCTAACTTAAACTGCTGCTGTTATACAAAAGATGTAAGAAATTCATTTGACTTTTGGAACTGAAATTTTCTTAAATCTCCAAGTCACAGATTCACATTCTGCACACTTCATATACCTCTGTTAAGCACTTTGAGCTAGACATGTCAATGAGTAAGGAGAGTAAGTCTTGAACCTATTTATGCACATCTATTTCCTACCCATATCCACGATTAAGAATTACAGTATATACAAGTATATTATTGTTAATTCTGCCTGTGTGAGCCTGCAAACTAAGATGCTACTGTAGCCAAGTAGAAAATGTAACCACAAGAGATAAAGGAACTTCCTTCCAAGAGTAATACACATAGGAAACAAAGGAAAACTAGGAAATCTTAGCTAACAAACATTGAGATCTTTTCCTTCTCCTCCTTCCTTCTTTTGTTACTTAAATGTGAGAAAAAGAAACAAGAAAAAGGTTTTAGTGACCTGTTTCCATTCCCGAATCTCATGCCTCTCAGTAGATCATGGGGCTCTGTACACCACAATAAGCTACTCTGAGAGCAGTGTGCTGTAAGTAATTTAATATAAAAGCTGATTTAAAGGAAGTGCATGCTTTTCATGTTTTATACCTTTCCAAAAACATCAGTTGTTCATTTGTAATATTTGCCTGCTCTGCACAATTAAAATTGCAAATGAAATGAATGGAAAGGAATAAAGTGTCCTCTCCCTCTCCCTTTCCCTTTCCCTTTCCCTCCCTCTTTCATTCTTTCTCTCTCTTTCTTTCCTCCTCAGTTTCTCTTCCTCTCTTTCCTCCTTCTTCTGTCTTTTCTGTGAATTTAAGTCATGTCACTCTTACTATGCTATCAGCTGAATCTGTGCATGTGGACACAGAGCTCAATGTTCAGACAACATGCTTGATACACAATGAAATCTAACTGTCCAAATCCTATAAAACACATGGCTGTTAGACGCATAGCCAGAGGGTGACTTGGGCTGTCATTTGATTATATTGCCCAGGTACATCTACCTGGCCTGCCCTGATGCTTTTCATGGAAATTGTACACGCAAAGGGCTTCCCGTTGCTGGAAATCCTCTTGGTGCTCTCTCCTTCAGGACGTGGGGCTCTGAGTGCCTCTGAGACAAGGGATAGGCTAAAAAAAAAAAAAAAAAAAAAAGACCACAGGACACCATGGAATATGCTTTCATCTTGACTGAACTACTGAGTGTTAAAAATCTTTAAATGTGTGGTAGACCCTCTTGGTAGAATCTAGCTGTATAGTGAACCTTCACATCACCAAAATGCAGCATGTTGCTCTCAGAAACCCTCTGGGGATAGGAGATGGGATTAGTTTGCTCTCAGATCCCCTTTGATTGATATTTATGATTCAAATGAGGAGTGCTTTTAAAGGATGGCTCTCAGATGACGTTTGGTCACAGTGATGGTTAATCTTGGTATTGATAGTTGTCTAGGCATTTGTATTTGCCATCTGTTTCTCTCTTTAGCACTAATGTTAAAGTTTTGAGGGGTCACTGATTCTGGCACACATGCTTTTTCGCTTGATTATCTCTCTGACTTATGGGTTAATAAATGTTTCTAAATCCTAAAACATTTTAAAGAGGTACAGGTAGGTTCAGATAGTTATCTGGAAGTATTGGAACAATAAGAGAGCAACCAGTAAATCCTTTTTTTCTCACTATGGTTTTCCAGTTAGTGCCTGGCTTTGCAGGAGGCATCGCCTAGTCCTCACCCCTAGATAGGAGCAGCGGCGGTGTCGGTCCCGTGCAGTTTGAGGTTTTCACCAAGAGGTGGTGCTAACAATTACCACATTCAAACTGAAATGCTTGTAAAATCTCTATAATCTATTTGCGACCTAAATTAAAGGTTTTATGTGGGCATGTGCACTTATGTAGTAGTATGATGTCCTTGTATTTATGAGCTGTGTAATTGTACGTTTAGTCCTTTTTAAGCATAGGAAAGCCACACTATAATGTGTAATTATAACCTTGGTAAGTATAACACCATTAAAGTCAGAGTAAGTGGAGTGCGCAGCAGAGCGGTGATAGGGTGATGACAGAGTGACATGCTATAACCAGTACAGTATAATAAGAAGAATCTTGTTGTTCCTGCTATTAAACACACTGCTCTCTGTACCAGCTAGCTTTCAGTTCCCCAGGAGGAGGGAAAAGACACTAAGCCTCAGAGAAGCACTGGCCATGTCTGTATGGGCAGCATGTGCTGGACGTTCACCCAGGTGCTGGCATGAACCAGAGGCATCAGGGTGCTGGAGGGGGCAGAGCCTCAAGAGGTCCCTGCAGCCCTTAGGACAGCTGCAGTGACCAGGAGAACCACGGGGGGACCTTGTTGGGGTGCTTACCTCAGGGTGCTGCTCCAAAACGAGCCTTCCTCTGTGCACCAAGCACCCTGCCTTGCCTCGGTGGGCAGGAGGACGTGTCAGCAGGAGGGAGCAAAGCTTTACCCTAGGGAACCCAAACTTTGCCCGACTTCTTCAATATCGCCACCGGCAGCAGATCCCAGGCTCACCTCTGTCCTGTGGAGCTTCCACTTGTCTGGTACCAGTGGGAAGCTGGTTGCTGAGTGAGAAGTGAGTATCAATTAGCATCGCGGAGGAAAGTAATAATCTCGGTGTGGGTATGTGGCATAAACTGCACTGCAAATTGAAATAAACCCTCAAAAAAAAACAACAACAAAAACTGCCAGAGAGCTCTGGACAGCCTTTTACCAATTAAATCCCACCTTGCAAGTGCTTTTATGTAGGATCACAGAAGAAGCCTTTAAAAAGGTCCTTATGGCATTTCTGATGGAGACAAGTCCCAGGGCTGGTTTGGGGTAGCTGGTCCAGTGGTTCTGTTGTTGCTTTGGCAGGAGCACATTACTAATCTGAAAGCTGTTGACAGTTTTCTCAATGATGCTTTTTTTCCATGTTTGTGTTTTGTATTTTCTGGCTGAGTTAGCCCATATCCTGTAAACTTTCTTATTGTGCTTCGTACTCATTGCAATGACATCTACTGTGGAAGGGAGAGAGAAAGCTTATTAACCACAGGCTCGCCTCCTGCTGACTGCAGTCAGAGATGGCCTGTGACAGCACTTCCAGCAGATGTTTCTGCTTTATAGATCAATGGAAACTTTACACAGATATTTCCCTCTTCGGTCCAAAAGCAAATGCCAGCAAGTCTGAGATCCAGTAACTTTGTGCTGGACACCAAGAATTTTATTTGCTTTATTATATTTTTTATACACACACAAACTAGCTACCAGAAAGTTGTCTTTAACCTTGTTTTTAATGGCATCTCTGGCAGGAATGAAGCTGCTGTCCACTTCTGGAGAGCAGCCTGGCTGCCTTTGCCCGCACATGGAGCGTCAGTGGAGACTGGAGCCTGGCAGAGATGGGCACACGCAAGTTGCAAACCATCAGCCCTCATCCCAGGGTGGTATTTTCTGGTTCTGAGTCTCCACAGACTCTGTGGCACAGATTTGTATTTCAATGGGTAAAAGAGAAATGTGCTATTATATCCAAACAAAGGGGGAAAATGCATCTTTCTTTCTCCACATTATCTTCTGGCTTTGTCTAGAGGGGGCTGGCTGGAGAAGAAGAGAGATGGGGACGAAGGGAAAGGGAAGGGCTAACATCTGTGCCCTTCACTGTGCATGCAGGCAGGAGCACGCAACCCCTGTCTCAGCACAGCACTGTTTTTTGGTGACGCTTTTTGATGTAGCAAATGTCTGTAGGAAACTGGAAGTTCAGAGAGAGATCCTTCAGTGATAGAAACCTTCACATCAACTGTCCTGTCAAACAAAAGCTAAGTTAGTAGGAGTTTGTTTTTTTGTAGCAGCAAACAACAACAAAAAAGTTTCCATGGGCTGACTCCCATAAAGAAGCTGGACTTTTTCTTCCACTTGGTCGGGCCAGATAGGCCAGATCTGGAGACACAGGTCCTTTATTGTTTAGAGATCTGCATGTTTGGTGGGATATCTGCATGAGGAAATGGCTGTGCTCTCTCTGGGCATCATCTATTCTCAAAGGGTGTCTCTCTTTTGAATGTATTGCTACCTTCCACCTTTGGGAGAATGATGAGAAGCAAGTGGACCCTGGAAGTACAAGTCCTGGCTGGGCAGTAAGCCAGGTTTTGTATAATTCAGTTGGCATTCCTGTGCTGGTCAGAAAGCCTGTGAGGCCATGGAGTTCAGGAGACGCTGATTTCTTTCAGTGCTGGGCTTTTAAATGCCTGCTATTGTGTCAAGCAGCAGTCAGTCCAACTAGGTCATGCCAGAGACTTGTAAATGAACAGTTCTCTACCTTGTCCTTTCCCAGCTAAGCTTCGTTAAAGTAATGACTTTGAGGTTAGCACTGAGATTAGAAAGGATATGAAATGCTTATAAATTGCTTGTTAATCAAAGTAACCACAATCATCCAAGTTACTTCTGAGGTGCCTTGTCCTTAGCTGGCCACTGCTGTCTTCAGCGAGCAGCCCCATGGCACTGGGCAGTAGCAAAACCATTCATTTCTGGCTGGTTTGTGTTGCGGGGAGCTCTGATTCAGGCTGCTGTGGATGTCTTTGCTGGTCAGAAATACTGTGGGCACACTAATTTTCCCTTGTGCCTGGGTTTGGATGAGATGCTGGTTCTTCTGGATTCATGTCCAGACAGAATGATGGTTTCACATGCTTGCTGACCCACCTCTGTTTTCCTGCATGGACAGGTATACACAGCATTGCTTCCAGGACATGGGAGCAGCTCTCAGGATGCCCTACTGTGTTTTATACTTGACTTCTCCCTAAATATTTCTTCATGCACCAGCAAGTCCCTGATGCCTCTGAGATCACTTTCTAATAGCAGAGGCATTCTCAGTTTCTCATTTCTTTTCAATAAGATGTCTGCAGCTGACAACACATATGCTCCTCTTGCTATTCTGTAACGCAGAAGTACTAAATGCAGATCTGATTATCCCTCTGCCTCCTTTTTCAATAGGTGCTTTATTGTGTTGACAGCATCACTCACTGCCCATTGCGTTGGTGTAAAGGGGGCCTGCAGCTGTGTGTCTGGGGCATCACCGCAACGTGTTTAAAACTCCAGATCATCTGTGCTCTTACACTAAGTGTGCCACACTTGGTGCACCTAGAGCTCAGATGAGTCCCTTGTTTAGTGGTGCTGTCCCCTGCTAAGGCTCTCTTAAGAATAAAAAAATGTCACCTGTTCCCAGGGCAAGTCTGCCGAGCTCTGTTAGCAGAAGCAGTAGGTGGCAAAATGTCCTTTCCAGCTGTGACGAGCCACCAGTAGGTGAAGACATGAAACCTTTGACACTCAAATACCATAGGCAAAACCTCATTCACTATTGCGACACACTTTTGTTAGCATCTGTGAGACATAATCTAGTGCTCTTGGAATGACCTCACCATCAAGGAAAAGTTCAAGGGCTTCTCATTTTTTTTTTACTCATTGTCTTGGTACCTCTGGGCTGAACTTCTCCAATCCATTGATTAACTACCTCTGACCCCTTAGTGAGACCAGCACGCTATGGTCCTATCTGCACAGACACACTTTCAAGTCTAGTAGGTGGATTAAGCATGAGTGTACTTCCCCTGTTCTAGATTTTGAGAGATATTTGTCCTTTCATACCCATCTGTGCTGGAGTAACCAGAGTGACATTAGGCTCTAGTCCTGGTATCTCTCTACTCATTTTGCTGTGTTCACTTTAATCCTAGTCATGTTATTTCTATTAGACAGAATGTGCATTTTTATTTGTTCAGCTTTAGGCCAGCACTGTTTTGTTGTTGTTGTTTGTTTGTTTTTCAGTCTTGTGCAGAGCCATACTGTTTTTCTTCTGGCCAACACTTCAATTACACCATCAAAAATGTAATGCATTGATTCAAATCACCAATGCCATCAGACTTCCAATCCCCACGAGTAAGAGGTGTCTTCTCCTTTGTCAAATGAGCGCATATGTGCACTCCTTTTGTGCAGTAGTGCCTGCCAAAGCCTTGTATCAAGCACAGGAAAGCATTTGGCATCCACCACCTCCCCAGAGGCTTCTCCCCTCAGAGGGGAAAATTCCACTTTCCCATATTACGTTCTTTCAATAATGTACGTAAATGAGGCTATTTAAGGTTTCACTGTTTTTTTGTTCTTTTTTATTTTTATTTTTCCCTTCTGCAAAGCCTATGCACTCACAGCTTCTTCATCTTTCTCTCTGTTTCCTTGCTTCTCCTTCCTTCATTTGGTAAGACCTGCCTTTTAGCCATTAACACCCTGTTTCCTGTGGTTTTCCTTGTAATGTTAGCGTTACTCTTTCTGGCACTCGTCTAGTGCTTGAACAGTCCAAGGCGAGCTTATGATGGATGTGGCTGCTTTTTCCAAATGCCAGCTGTCTGCTTGGTTTATGTTAAATGCCACAGCAGGGGTATGTGCATATGTAGTTTCTCCTGGATTCAGGCTCAGAGAAACAGTCTGAGCTGAACCTCTTCAGATGAGGTCTGGGAATTTCTGGGTGGCCAGAGCATCATCAGCTTCAGTCCTGGTATCTGCTGAGATCCCCAGGCGTCCTCCTCCAGGACTCCAGTCCCAACCCCACAGCTCAGCAGCAGCTCAGCCCCCTGAAAATGTAAGGGGCGTTTGCCAAAGGGTCAGAGCTAGCCTCAGAGTTTCAGTGGGACAGGTTGCCCTAACGTGGGCCGATGCCTGAGTGCTCTGTTCATCTCCCACGAGTGCTGTGGGTGCCTGCCTGTGAGACTGGCCTTGGGATTGAATCTGGGGTTGAAAAAATGAGTTAGTTTCTGCATCTGTTCTTGGGCTAACTCTGCAGTGGATCAAATGTTTAGTGCTGTTATAAAAAGGTCCTGCTATCACTCAGCCACTGTTGATACCCTTTAGAAGTAGTCCTGACTAAATTTTTGGCTAAATGACAGTAATAGCTGGCATCTCATCCCATGCTGTTCTCATTGTGGCACTGATCTTGGGGCTCCAGTGGACATTAGAGAGGAGACCTTGGTCTGCCATGCTGCTTGGTGGCTCTCCTGGTAGCTATGCCCTGAAATAGGCTAGCCCCAGCCTCTCATTGTTCAGCAGTTCATCGGAGATGTTCAGCAATGTGAGGAAGGCAGGCACTGGGGAACCTGGAGAGGTGAGAGATACCAGAAAATGGACAGAGAGGCGAGACTGACTTTGAGAGAGGATACTGGGGCTCTCTGCTGCTAAATTGGCTGTATCTAGAAGGGAAAGAGTGGGACAGTCAAATTCACATCTTAAATAAAACTATGGATTTCAGTACAGGACAAAACACTTCTGACCCGAATTGTGCTCCTGCCTGTGTCACTGGCCACTGTTTGTCTCTGGATAGGAGGCCCCCTTTTGCCATGCCTCTGCTGCCTGATCTGTAAAATGAAGATATCAATCCTAATCCTCCTTATAAAGCACTCTGAGACTCACTGGCAAAGGAGCTGCGGAACTGCAGAGCTAAGTGGACTGAAATGGCTGTGTTATTTTTGCTGAAGTTTAGAGCTTCTTAAAAGCCGGAGCTAACTGAAGCAGTAGTTAGACAACAGGAGAAATAACTGGGTCAGGAGCTATATTTATGAACAACGGCAGGGTCATATTACTCACTGTGAATAATTTATCTGACAAAGACATATAGTTTGCATAATTTTCTTAAAACAATGTACTGTAAATATTGCAGTCTGCTGAATAATTTGGGAGATGAGTCAATGGGATTTGGTTAAGGTCCAACAACTTTTTGAGTTATGGAATTCCTTATTCCCAGATACTTTAACAGCACCAGCTGCAATGAGAGTAGGTTCTCACTCACTCCAACTGGAAGTTCCCTTCATGAACTGAATTTAAGAACTGACTCAATAGGATTGGCCCTTCAGGGATCATGGGCTACTTGGCTGCTGTTGCAGACAGTGCCCCACCAGGTCTTGCTTGCCACAGTAAAGCTTGTTTTGAAGAATGGAGGCTTGTGGTAAAACCTTGCCTTTTGCTCTAGATAGCTAAGTGGCTCTTGGACTGGCCTTTTTTGTGACACTGAAGCTCAAACATTGCACAGTAGCATTTGCTTACATGAAAATTTCTGCTCACAATGGACTTTTGTGAACAGCACAACAATTAGCATTCTTGGGGCATTATTCTGAGTTTAACTTAGTACCCTTGAAAACAATCAAATTCTGTGTTTGTTAGCTCTTGGACCCCTCACTGTCTTCTAGCTAAATAAACCGTTGTGGCAGAAGTAGTGCTCAATGGTATCTGTTTGAATGAAGAGCCTTGCTTGTTTCTGAATGCTTTTCTTTCATTCAGAGTCAGAAAAAAAGCTCCTGTATCTCATGGGGCTGATGACATCCACTCCCTTCTGTCAGCTCCTCTCTTTCACCGTCTGGGTTCACAAGACGAAATGGGTCAGTGCACTGAACGGCCATCTGGTTTCTGTGGGACCTGCTGGAAGTGGCTCAGCAGAGCACAACCATGCTGAGCCAGCTCTCCTGCATCACCCCTGCAGGTGTAACCTTGCTGAGTGCTGCTGCAAGACACGGCTCTGCATCCTATCTTGCTGCTTTGGGAAGGTCACGTTCCCATGAGAGTTACTATATCTTCGCCACCAAAATAGGGCTGGTCTTTCATCATGATCTGATTGGACCCATGCTCTCCTCTGGCACAACAGATTAGAGCTGCTCTTTTGCCTCCATGCTCCAGCTGCATGACATGACTTAGAGACAGCCCACCAAGTCTTTTTCCTTCACATCCATCTTGCTATTATTATCTTATTTGCTCTTCTTCCCCAGGCAGCAGGAGAGGCAGAGAGGCCTTGGCTGGGGAAATGAGGCAGAGGAGATACTGCAGAAGGAGAAAGGGCTCAGGAGCATGGGGTGAGGAGGAGACTGAACCTCCAAGGGCAAAACAAAGCAGTCAGCTGAGAAAGACAGAGAGACTGAAAAAAAAATAAATAAATAAAAATGTACAAGTTAAACTTAGGACAAAGAGAGAGGGGAAAAGCAATTTCTATTTTGCAGAAACAGCTTCTTAAATGTAAGTAGAAAAACTAAAGTTTGGTTCCTTCCCCCATCCCAAATGTCCCACCGGCTATGTGTATGCCCTGGAAAAATTTGCTTCATGGCCCTCGGCTTCAGTTTTGCTGATCCAGATTTAGTTTTTTCTACTGGTTTTTCCATTTCCAAGGTAAATAATGGGACACGGTGTATTATCAGGCATTTAGAAGTAGAGAGGACAGCACCCATGGGGTATTGTAGGTTGCATGCACATTTAATGAGCTGCCCCCTCACTTACTCACAGACTCACAGTGAAAATATTGATGCTCAGCCCTGCCCTGGGCATGAAATATGGGGTTTTAATTCAGCACTGAACTGTCTGCCCTTTAGTGAATGCTAACCGTGTGCCCAGACAAGAGGAATGCATTTGCTTGGACAGTAAACATCTTTTTATGGACCTTAAAATAATTTGGTTTCCATTTTCTCCTCGCCAGGCAAATCTTATTTTGTCAGGACGGAGCTGTCACAGGCAGCACCATTTCATTCTTCACCATGCCCAGCACTCTGTGGTACTGAACCAAAGCTCTGCTGCTTGAGGACAAACCCGGACAGAGGGCATGAAGAAAGCTCAGCTGTGCACGGCTGCTGCCTTCCTGGCACTGGAGCACCCTCAGCAATCTGCTCAGAAAGCTCAGAGCTGACTTTGCATCTTTTGGCCTTGATCTCTGGCTCTAAAGTTAATTGGGATAATTCAGAGTTCACACCCCTATCCCTGAGGGGTTGGTTTAAAAATACATGTAATGTGAGTTTGAAAATTATTTCTTTTGATTGGAAGTATTTGGAAATGTTCCTCTCCACTGGTTTTAAAAGGTGTCATTTTTTTATGAATGCTGAGACGTTGATTAATAAAATTCCGAAAGCATTAACTCAATTGAGCCAACTCCAACTTTTTTTTTCTTATTATGATTCGTGAAAATAAATGCAATAAAAAAAAATCCCAGCAGCTCTGTTAAACTGTATCCTCAGCAGTCTCCCTCCTGATAGCCCTACCAGATGTTTTACAACGCTAGAGGCAGCGCAGTTTGCACTTTCCTCCAGGGATGGCCAAGTGAAGCCTTGGCTCAGCACCACGAGCCCTCAGTGTGTGACCCCACATCTCAGACATGCCGTAAGTTAGCTGTACCCCGGGAAGGGGCATGGGGGATTTGGTCTCCCCAGCTGTAAGACACCTTGGGGAGGAGTAGGTTTTTGCCCGACTGCTGCATCCCCTCTTCCAGACTACCAATGCGGTCAGGGGATGACGTAGGAGAGGTGATGCTCAGGTCCTTTTTCCCCATGGTTCAGGGTTGTTGGGTGCAGGCTCTGGCTCTCCCCATGTGGGAAGGATAATGTCCATCAGACACCAGAGCCCACCCGCCCAGAGCCTCTCCCTGGAGGCCGCTCAGCCACTTCTGGTTACGCTCTTCCCAGGGTCGCAATGAAATATGCCCATGGAGCAGAGCAGGAGACACTGCAGCCCTTTGTGCTGCTGAGGGGCCAAGAAGCGGGGGAGGCGGAGGTGGGGACCGCTCTGGGTCCCAGAGCACCGTCCGGGGAAGGATTTATTGCCCTGGCTGTGTTTGGGACACAGACTGCTTGGGATAATCATCCATCCTCCACGTCTGAGTAAGCTGCCACAGGAGATTCATTTGTAAGCTGGCCTACCTTCTTCCTGAGGTTTCTTTCTCCTTTATGCTGCGAAGGCTAATATATTGTTCAAATTAAAGCGGGCCTGGGGACTGAAGACAGAGCTGGTTATTGAGTGGAATGGACTGATGAGGAGTGGGTAATATATTTAAAGACTGTGTAGGAGCCGCTAGGGACAATATAGTCTGATTTATTTGATTTAGTATAATTTATAGTACACTAGACTATGTTGTGATTCTTCAGGATTTTATCAGGAAATTTGCATTCAATATTTAAGGATCTCTGGGCAGAAACACTCTCCTTCTTTTATTATTTTGGCCTTAAAAATAGTATGTACCACAGAAGAATTTATAAGTGTATAAAAGGTTTTAATAAGTTCAGATGGTAAAAAAAAAAGAGCTTGAAAACCAAGATCGACGAGGGAGGAGGATTTCTGCTTCACCCTTTCCCAAGAGCATAGGTGGACTTCTTTTAAGAGGGTATGCTGCCTTTGCATTTATTTTCCTCTTTTTGTCCTGGGGACAGAGTAAGCCTCAGTAGACCCTCCTGTATCTGGAGGCCAGTGGCTCAACTGATGTAAACCAGCAGTCAGTCTTTCTCCTTGTGTGTACTAAAAACTGCAGATGTTGAACATCTCCTGAGATGGTCCCTAATTTTAAGGCTAGAAATTTGTTTAGTAGAATAGATGGCAGTCCATTGTTTGATGCTCAAAGCATAACTTCTACATCATAAAAATCTTCTGTTTCATAAGTTAGTCCTCTAATAATTTCATCCTCCCCAGAAACCCTCCCTAAAGGGAGAGACCTCAGGTGAAACTGGGCTTTCATGAGAGCAGAAGCAGCTTGAGCACAAGATTGGGTCTCTCAGCACAGTATCAGGGAGACTAAATTTTTTTGTCCTATAAGATGAATCCTTTTCCATACACAAAGCAGAAGAGGCGGAGTTGTCCTTTGCCTATGCCATATCAAAGTAGCTCTTGATGCACTGGAGAACTCAGCAAGATGCCATGTCCAAACCATGTTAACTGTTTGTAGAGGGTTCTCCATCTTAAATCTGTGAAATGTCATAGATTTGTCCTCTCTCTGGACCTTCCCATTATGTGATTGATTTGTAGGTACATTCCATCCTGTTGAGGTTTGCATCCTGTTACAGCACAGTGGGCTGCAGCCCTCAAGTCCTCAGCCTAATGGTGTTCAGTTGGGAAAGTCTGAATCCCTGGTGATCTGCAAACTGCAACACACTATTTAAAACCTTTGTTGACAGTCAAGCACATAGAGTGTTTAAAGTTTTAATAGGCTTAGAGTTAATTCTGGAGTCCACCAACATCTGCGTACATCCGTAATTTACGAGCACCTCTTACTTGGTTGGTTTAGTAAATTGTACCTAAGAGTGTTTTTGAAACTTTGGCAGCTCCACCTAGAGTTTCATGATTCATCTGTGCTTTTGCCAACTGCTTCGGTTCTTTTTCTTTCTTTCTTTCTTTCTTTTTTTCTTCACCCCTTTTCCCTGTTGGAAGATGTTCTTAAATACTTAATTCAGGGTTTTGGTTTGGAATGCACTTTGTCACACACGTTTTCTGTGCCAAAACCCTTTACACACTCTATCAAGGACAACTTTCCACATGCTAATATATTTATTTGTAAAATGGCTTTTAAAGCCAGTGCAGATTCTGAAGTGTGATGGGCTGAGTCTGCTTGTGGAGGAGCCCTGCCCATCGCTCACGGCTTGCACCCTGGCTGCGCAGAGCCTGCTGTGTGCAAATAGGCGTCACTCTCCTGCGACCTCTCTTTCCTTTCTTTCCTCACCTTTTGCTCTCCCAGGCCCCACTTGTTGAAGTTGTGTACTGAAAGATGAGTACAGATGTTTCGTAGTGATTTCTGCAGCTGTTTCTCTGTATTTTTGAGGGAGTCTAGTGAAACAGGGCCCAGTCACGTGGAAGTTCCCAACCTTGCACCCCCAGCTACAATCCTGCGTGTGCGAGTCCATTTCACCACACTCCTCATCTTCTGACCACCTGTCTTCCTGCTGCCCTGACGAGCAGAAGGGACAGTGTCCCCCAGGAGAGGGCTTGGCTGTAAGCACAGGCAGTGAAGCTGCAGGCCATTTTGAGAAAAAAAGCAATGGGCTGGGAGCTGCAGGTGGAGCTGTGAAGGGGAAGGCATGGATGGGCCTACACCTTCAGCAGAGGGTCCCCGAGGTACCACCGGATGCCTGACTTCTGGCCAAGGACATTTGCTTCAGCTGTGAGGGTCCTATCAAGAAAATATAGGACAGCTGCCTGAAGGCAGACGGAGAACATGGAGTCTTCCAAAAAACCTCTTTGTGCCTTTGCCCTGGACAGCCCTTAGGAGCTGGGCTGGGAAACACTAGGCCCGTTTATTGTAAATAGAGGAGTCAGTGTTCCTCGCGTGTATAAACCTTTTAGTTTCTGGCAGCCCATGTCAAAATAATCCTGTTTTCCTCAAAACATGTGAGTGTTTCTGGGCTCTCAAGAAAGCTTAGTGCCTGACAAACTCAGCGCTTGTCTCTTCAGGCAGCTGGAGGTGGCGGGGGCACAACTGTGACGTTGGCTGCATTAGCAGCTCTCATAACTTTCCTTGTTATTTTTATTGTCTCAGCCTCCAGAGTGCTTTGATTAGGCTGGAATCCTAGCTTTCATATTTATTTATTTTTTTAGAGCAAGTTTTGAGCCCTTGTGACTGTGGAAAAAAGTAGCTTGAAAACATGCAATGTGCTTTGGATGTGCTAAAATCAGAAAGTGAACAAAGAGCCCAGCTGGGACTGCAGGAATGGTGGGATGCTTTATTTATTTATTTATTTTTCTTAAAAAGAAAAAAGAAGGAAAAAAAAAAAGAGCTCTGAATTTCTCCTTGCCTTGCAATACCTCAACTCTTGTTCTCACCCTTTTATTAGCAGCATGAGGCAGTGGCACAGCTTGCCTGGGGTGGCACAGCAGGGCAGCAAGCCAAGAATATGCTCTAGGTGTCTTCACCACACACCGTAAGGGCATTTCCCAAGAGCTAGGCTGGGGCAGGCAGTACTCGTGCCGGTACCAATTGGCAGCATAAGACCAAAAAGTTGGGAAGGGAGTTGTTCACATCTCACAGCAAGCCAGCTTGCTGTCATGCCGTGTTTCTTGGTGTACTGCCCCAGACCTCATAACACTGCATTTCCAGCATCAGGCCATACCAGCTGCGATACCTCAAGCCTTGCTGTCAGAATCACACACTTACAAGACTGGGTGCCCCACCAATCTTTTACTACTATTTTATTAATGGGAAAAGACTACATCAGGCAGTTAACATGAACCAAGACATTCCTGCCTATGACAAATTAAGGTCTAAGATGTACGCTGCGAAAAAATGTCAGATGTGAGCTATAGAGCCATTAATTGTCAACAGCTTGGGCTCTGTTGACACGTGGGTTTGTTTTACATTATTCCTATAGGGAAATAGAGTGGCTGATGCTCTCGTGCTTAGGCCAGCTGATTTGTCTCGGGCAGACAGCTCTTCTGCAAAGAAGAGGGGTCTGAAAAAAGAGGGTTTGGACTGAAAGAAGACAGGGTAGAAAAAGAATGAAATAGAGCTAGTCCTATCTTTAAAAAAACTCACAAAGAGCTACTTTAATCAAGTTTATATTTATGCCTGACACGTGGATGATAGGAAGAACTGGCATCAACTCTGTCAGTAAAAATATCTTATTGTTATTAATAACTTTGTTAACTCTGGCATCCATTGTATGCCAGGCACTGTGCAAAACCCAAGGAAAGCATGCCGTCTCCCTAAAGAGCTTGTACTAATCCAGACTATTGAAACAATATTTTTTTAATACTGTGTATAAATCATTCTTCTAGCAGTATTTAGTATAGAGGTTTATGCTTCCCCATGCATGTTTTCAAGACAAACAAATTTGCTACAGTGAAAACACTACACAGTTCAATCCAGCTACCTTTAATGGCGTTTCTTCCAGGCAAACCCTTGGAAACTGCAGAAAAGCCCTTAACATAAAGTTAACTTTGAAATCTGCCTAAGCATCATTAACTTTAGCGGTCTCAAATACATGCTTTGCATCAAGCATGTGCTGAAGTGCTCCTCCCACTGTGTACGGAATTGGACCCATGCAAAGGGTTTTGGTGATATATAGTGTAATATCAGAGAGATTAAAATCCCCAGGGATTCACTATGGAGGAGGGAATTATATCATCTCTCACTAGGGCAGTGCTCTGAGTTCTCATCAGGCAATGTG